ATCTGCCATTTAAACCAGTCGAAAAGGATCGATTATCAAGGTGTTCGCAACGAACACCTTTATAATCGATTCTCTACCACAGCTTCACACAAGGAAATACCGATATATATCGAAGCACGCCACGCCACTGGTTTGAGGCTTTAATCAACGAGAAGCGAAGGGCACCTCTTGAGTTACCGACTCTTTGTCCTCAAATCCACCCTTTGTCGGCACAAGGCGCATCACTTAGAGCACCGACCTATCACATAACTCCATTCTCCTTAATCTTTTCTTATCCAGTTGACAAACACAAAATGTCAACAATCAGGCTGCAGAACAAAATTCTCTGGACAATATTATTATCGGAAGAAAAATACTAAGAAAAATCATTGCGGCCGTCCATGACTCATTGATGGGAATTTGGCAACGTCTGAAGGGTCATGCGGTGTTTTTCCTTATAGAACGGTAGCTTTCCTTTGGAAAAAACTACTCGACGCGGGTGGCGCCATCCTCAAAGGAAACATTTGAATGCGGAGCTACCGGCTCCGATGGATAATGCGACCCGTTCTCGAAAGCGGAAGCGGAACGTTCCGCTCTCTCCGTTGCGTTAATATCGGCGACCGTGTCCAGGAACGCTGAGCAATGATCACGTACTTCTCGCCATTGGATGAAGCTTATATGACCTCCCGGAGCGAAGCGGCCATGTCGCTCATTGTCACGTCATTATTTTTCGCCAAAAAGAGCGCCAACTTTTAATTGAGTTTTCTCCGGTAGAGTTTCAAGAGTGCGTTTTTGTCGAATAGTATTTCCTCGTTTGTTCACCTTAAGGCTCTTGTTTTTGGCAACATACTTAAATTGAAGATTCTTGTGCAAATGATATCCTCATCTCAAAAAGCATTTTTCAAGTATATAAATTCAGCAAACGGCCATCAAGTTCTCTTTTTTTCTATGCATCCGAACGGTAGCACCTTACAGTAGAGTACATGTATAGCGAGAGTGTGGACAGCTTGCTTTATGTAGGGATTTAAGGCCCAAAAAGGTAGCCGGCCTTCTAACGCACAAAACCTCACTTAATCTTCAGATTCCAATTCACACCAAGATGACTGAGAATGTTCATAAATGAGCGTTCTTCCGCAAAAATTAGTAAGTTTATGCAAAATATAAGTCAAATACGTGCATTACAAGTGCCGAGTCGTAACAATTGTAATAATAAATCGTTCTGGACAATTTGAATTCATCGGTCGACTGCCCTTTTGTGCCCTAACTTTATTCGCAGAGGCATCGGTGAAGGCCTGATAGATTTTCAGAGTTTCACTCCTGTCTGTGCTCCTCCTATAGAGGTACTCTACCTTACAGCCATGACTGTCAAATTATTGCGTATTCTAAATACTGCTCGGGTGTTTTTAATAACGAATTTTGTATTGTATCCTCCCCCGCTCAATCAGAGGATTAATCAAGAAGAAACTCACAGAATTTTGAATATTGAAATACCCTGTACTCGGTGGAATTAATATTTGTCAGAAAGAATGTCAAACGAGAAAAGATTCCTGATGAATCCATCATTATCATCTATTAGGTTAGGTTACGGATGGTAAGAAACAAGTATTTCTCTGCAAGCACAGGCTTTGTAATTCATTCACTGCGTTCCTCCTTTCTCAGCTTGTTTGCGTCGTGCACGGCTATTCCTCTTCTACTTTTTAACATGTCCCGGGCTTGATTGCGAGGGTATTTAACACCGGATCCAGCGGTTTTTTTGTTTTTTCCCCCCTTTCTCTCTCTCGGCTCCAACGCGGTGTTTTTATTTCCGCCGAGCAAATCTCCCGACAACGGACGAGGTTGCGCGTTGCGGTGCACCTGGGCGGGTCATGCAATTCTAAAAGGGAATCATTCAGACGAGAGCTGAAGCCTTCAGTGCGAAAAGAACCCGGGTGACTAACTCCTTTGAGACTCGCTTCCCTTCACCAATCAGGATTCAAGAGTTCACGACTTTACGCCGCTCGGGCCCTTTTCGATGAGCGCCGTTGAGTTTTAGGGGAGCCAGCAGTGGCCAGCAGCGGGATCTGGACCGTAACCGTTACATTCAGTTTTAACTCCCGCCATATAATATACACCCACAACTTTTGCTCGGGCGGTATTAAATAGAAAGGATGTATCTTCAAAGAACTTTTTGAAAAACAACGTATTATCTAGTGTATATCTGTTTGAGCTACGTGTTTCTTCGGCGAAACTCTCTTTTTAGGTAGATTTCATGCTGTCCAACTTTGCTTTCGTCCTCGTGCATGTTCCTGCAGAGCTTCCTCGAATGGGTCCCAAGGAACGGTAGTATTTCGGCTTGAGGCACCCATGTTGAAATTCAAAGCCCAGAAACGATCCGAGCAGAATCTAGCCACGTGATTTTTTAACAAAATTTAGGACTACAAATGGTGAGCTTTCACCTTGGCCGTTTGCTGAGGGATATCCTCAAAATTCAGCCTCCAAAATGTTATGGACAAACACGGTCTTGGTTAATGAGTCAGTTGCAATGGCATTATTCCTAAACTCGGCACGTTGAATTGCCCTCGAAAACTTAGCAATCACTCGGCTTCAAAGGAGGTAGGAAACCGTTGTCGTAGCTTGGCGTGCTTTGCGATTTATCCATTGATCTGTCATGTAAACCTATGGAAAAGGATCTATTAATAGGGTGTTCGCAGCGAGCATCTTAATAATCGATTCTTTACCACGGATTCTAATGGGGAAACAAGTTGGTTTTTGCAATCGCTAGCGATAGCAATATTCGTCATGGGAACTTTTGCTTCTGGGATATGAACATTTTAAGGTAGGTACAGTTCGTTTGTAGTATCTTCAGAATTGAAGGGGCTATGTAATTTTGTGTCGACATCTCTTTTTTAACATTTTTAATGTTTTTTCTTTGCATACAAGAAAGCTGTTATTTACCGATTATTTATTTTCGTTGGATTATGTATGGTTTTTGGTAGTTAACGCATTTAACTTTCAGTTTCGTTTTTTCGGCGTAAAGTATGATATTTTTACTCTACGCATATGCCCGAATACGCATCATAACGACGGTGAAACTACCAAACCACGTATCTCGTTTGCGGTGTTTAAAAATCTCCGCTCACATTTTATTTTTTTGAAGTAGACCAAATCAATATCATTCCTTGAAATTTTCACAGAATTTTCTCCGCACGAAGAGGAAAAATCACGGAAATTTTCAAGACTGGACGTTAAGTAGCTTTTCATTTAAAAAATAAAGTATGACAGGAAGTCTGCGACGTCGCAAACCGAGATACGTGGTTTGGTAGTTTCACCGTCGATAAGTGACCTATGTGCTTCCTAAGTTGCCATTTTTTTCATTCAAATAGATGTAACCGAAATGTTAGATGTGTACTACCTATACTACTTTCATGTCATTGCTTTATTTATTTATTTACTTTTTGCGTAGGTATAAATTGTTATTTTTTGCTGAATTTTGGAGAAAATATTGCTTTAAGAACGTGGAATGTAAATTAATTTTATTGAAAAAAGAAAATACCATCATTAATTTGGGCGAACAGAGAAAATATACATCAATATTTGGGTCAACATCTCCCTGATTATATAAAGGATGAATATATTAGTATTTCTGTATCAAAAAACTTAGCTTTTGTCTTCAGAGATACGATGATTCTAGTCCCAGTCAATTTGTTTTATTGAAAAAACAAAAAAACAAAAAATAAATAATAAAAAAAAAACAACTGAAATGTTAGACATACTATTTTCAAGTCTTTCTATTTGTATCAATAGGTACTTTTTGCTTAACTTACGAACGTTGAATGCAAATTAACTTTATTGAAAAAAGAAAATAACGTCATTAATTTGGGGGAACATGTGGCTGATTATATGAAGGAGGTATATTCCAGTATTTTTGTTTAACATATTAACTCACGAGAAAATGTTCGTACATTTATCATCTAGTATTAATTATTTTTTGATGATTGGTCTAAAACATTCAATACAACCATTAAAAATTATCTCCCATCGCCGGGTATCGAACTCCCGATCACCTATTGCCCGCACCTTATCAAAAATATAGGGCGCCACAGTCGACTAGGCTATCACAGATCGGCAAATGGGAGGGAAAAAATAGCATTTAAAAGACTCGGACGATGGGCGGGACTTATCACAAGAGTTGTCCTTGAGCGATTCGGCGATTCGCGTCTTCGTAGCTTCTGGAGAAATGAGCTAAGCGCCTTTCTCTGTGAGACATTGTTTGCCTATGCTATCATGTGTCTCAAGGTTCATATCAGCAGGCATTTGCCATCGCGGCAGTAAGCTGAGGCAATATTTCTGTATTCATGGAATAAATCAATCAATCGAGTTCCGATTTTGGCTCATATGTCCGTAACGGGTCCTCCAGAGCAGTTTTCCACCTTGCACAATAGTTATAATTTCTTTATTTCTATTTGTAAAATTTGAGGTGGGATAATGGCGGCTTCTCAAGAGCAACGAGGTAGGCGATCTTTTGCACCAACGAACAGAAAACTGATGGCGAAAAATAACCAATCAGAACCTCCCAAAAAAAAGAATTTGCCTAAAAACGGAACTTCGTGGATCTGCGCAGATTTACCAGTCAGACACGACATCTCAAAGTGGAAAAAAACTCGCTGAAAGCGAATTTTAGCAATCAACACAACTTGACGTAGAGACATGATTGGCTAAAAAATACAACGGTTTTTGATACATCGGAAAATCAACCAAAAATCGGAGACTGGGCGAAACGCTCAAGGTCGCAGAGGTATAGGGAATCCCATAGCGAAAGCAACGGAACGATTCTAATATCATGGGGAACTCCGTTCCCATGACAATATCGATAATCGATCATTCAAGCCATACGCCACTGATTTTATCATAGATGAATTCGTTTTCAATAACTGATTTTACCGGGGGTTGCCCCCCCCCTCTTAAATAGCAAAAAGGTAAGGGTAGCCTATCTTGTGATGTATTTATATGTAATAATTTTTTGGGGATGTATTGTGTTTCAGTGAGAACGAAGCCTCAGGAGGAACTGACGGAGGATGCGAAGGAAGAGCGGGTGTCGGAGATGGCGTCGCTGGCGCACCTCCGGGGGCCCTACTTCGACCCCGCCGCCTCCAAAAACGTCACCGCCATCGTCGACCAAACTGCTTTCCTCAACTGCCGGGTTCATAATCTCGGAAATAAAACGGCAAGTTTCCTTCCCACCTTATCAAGTTGTTTGGTATCCATTTTGTGTGTCGTCAAGTATTAAAAAAATCAATGACTATATGGTTCAAATGGTACTCGACCAATAGCGCCTGGAGCCGATGATGGAGCCACTTTAACCGCAAGCAACTATGTTTACTCCCCTGAGATCAAATTGCATACCCACCGAAATTAAGGAACTTCGGAAGAAGCCGGTGTAAAGTTACGATTTACCATGCCAATGCGTCGTGAATCAAAAAGTGTGGTAAATCCCACCAATTTATTTTTCTGTTTACTGTTGTTTTAATTTCGTGTTTTATATATTTTTATGTCATTTAAAATATTCATCTGGAATTTTACCCGGAAACCGTTGCTGATTTTTGCGAAAAAAGGCGACAGGTTGAATCACGTCAATAATCCAAGTTTTTGTTCTCCAAGGTTCATGATTGACATTCAATACTCATTTTCATATCATGAGATAGTCTAGAGACACCAGCTCCTTGACCAGAGATTTTTTATCCGAAGACAGTATATTGTCGAAAGTCCGCGCTGCTATCTTCCCTTTAACGTAAAAGTTACAATCGGAAATCAACATTCATGATTCCTAACGATGACTCATGATCATAGAGTTTAGCACACCTAACCTATCTTGCAAAAACTCACCTTGCAAAATGTTCGTTCTATCATTTATCACTACTCATCATCAGCCAAATTTTATTTGATTTTATGATTCGCAAGTTACCCAACAATCGTCATTCATCGAAAAGTAGCCTTGATCTCGGAACTTAACATTTGCCTGCCTCGCCCGATCATATCACTAAGATTGTAAGAGAACGATACGTTTAGCTTTCTAATATGGAACCAATCCGCACAAGAATACATGCTATAAGTTTTCATTGAATTTAATCCTCCGTCGGGGATCCAACTGTTTTTTCCTCCCTCGTAAAATGAGGAAACTACAGCTTTCAGTATTTGCTTCATGTCTATATTTTACATATCCGAAGGCACTTACGTAATTGTTGTTAACAATATGGATCGCAAGTTTTCTGCTTGTTTTTCATCGTGTATTCTTTTATTCGAGCCCGAGTTCCAACAAAGTTTACTCAGAGCCTCGAGCTCCAAGTTTATTTGATTCAGATTTACGCTAACTTTATCACTCATGTGAGTTTATGAGTTGCCAGCACTTTTACTCTTCAACACCGGTGATGTATAAATATGTAGATTAAAAGTAAATCGTGGAACGCATGAGCGACATTTTAATGGGGCGGAAGGGGAGAAGGCTTCTATTAACCTCGTCTCTCAAGTCACAACTTGCAAGTTCTGATAGTAAAGAATATATTTCTTATCAAGTGGCCGGACAATGTTTTTTACCGCTGATAATTGCTTTGTAGTTGTTATGGTTTCCAAATAATCTTGAATACGATTGAATCGTGTCGTGCAGAAACTGCTAACGCTCATTCTTCCAACTTTCAATTTTATTATCTTAATGGAACTTTTCTAAAGTTACTGTTAAATAAATAAAGTTAATTATTAACACCGTATCCACGGTTGCATCCAACTCCGAAAAGTATCATCAGCTCAAAAAAACTCAAAGACTGGAAAAATGAACATCAGCTATTTTTGTACGACAGGATTCAATCAGTGGTATGTAGGTAATTAGAACTAACATTTATAGAATTCCGTGATTCAAGTTAAAGTTTGAGCATATGAACCATAGCGCAATGTCAATTATCTTCTGTCATAACATTCGGTTCACGTAAGCACACCCATTACTCATTTCGTCGTTCCTTGAGTGACGAAAGAATTCATCTTCATATGTGTATTGTATGTATGTATGTATGTATGTATGTATCAATGTTTAACCGAGTAGATCCTGCGAACTTTACCAGCGAGGTGAGACCCTAAATCTTTGAAGTTAGTGAGTGGGTTCACGATAACTGGAATAGTTTTGTCGCCGTAGCAGACAACACATTTTTCTGTCATATTTTTAGTAGTAATAATAATCACTCGAATTTTTTCGCATAAATCTTCAAAGGGTAACGTGTTATAACGCTTTTCAAAGATTTATTGCTCTACTTTTCAATTATAATATATATATATATATATATGGCGGAAAATGTGCTGTCTGTAACGCTGACTTTTTACCGCATAGCAGACAGCATATTTTCGGAATTAACGTTATATTAATTGAGAACAAGAGCAATAAATCATTAGAAAGCGTTATAATACGTAACTCTTTGAAGATTAATGCGAAAAAATTCGAGTGATTATCATTACTACTAAAAGTATGACCGAAAAATGTGTTGTCTGTTAGGGCGACAAAACTATTCCAGATATCGTGAAATCACCCTAAAGGCTGAAATTTCAATTTCAGAGGGTAAAACCCGCTATATGTATATCGAAAATCTCGGAGAAAACTTAGGGCTATACTCCACTCCGGAGTCCAAATAGCACCAAAACAATCGGACTCATGAATGCAGATCGGTATCTAGCCTTTGAAGGAGTGGCCTGTACTTTTTATACAGTTTGGTATCAATTCTTTTTTAGGAGTAGAGAATTTCACTTGATATTTATATCTGTAGGGTTGTTTGGGAGGCGAGGTCTTGTTGAAGGGCTCAACAGTTGGACTTTTGCGAGGCGAGTAACTCGTAGGCTTCGGCAGGAAAAATCAAGGAAATGACATCCGGAAGATGGGGGTAGATAATTATGGCGCGGAAAAATAGCGGGTGAGACCCGGGGCACCCTCGCCGTTGCGGGCTCTGGGGTTCATGGGTTGTCCGCGCTCCGTGCTTACTCCCCCCCCCCCCCCCCCCNCACCTATTTTTCAGTGGAGTGGGGGACGGGGCGGGGGCCACCGTGTTCTCGTTTCGTTGAAAGGTGTTTTGTATTTACACCGTGTACGCTTTTCATTAGCCAAGTTTTTAAAGAGCCCGCTGAGCTTGGCCCGGCCCGGCCGGGGCGTGTGAAGCGTATTGAATTCGCTCGGGTTGCAGCCTCATGAGAGTAAATTGCATCACTTACCGCGCATTTTGCATAATTGGATGCGTTTATGCAAAACAATTTGCGACTAGGTCTATGCGGATAGACTACCTCTTCGTCAACGCGTTTAATTGAGCTACTGTCGTGCTTTTGATAGAGATCTAGTGTTTGTAGTCTTTCTCGAGCTTTTAATGCACCAACCTCATTCAAAGCAGTGTGTTGGAGTGTATACCTGCCAGTCGCGAAAACAAATCAGAATAACCAAACAAAAGTGCTATAATTTCATAGTATTTTTTTTCTTTATTCCCATGGTGACACGGAAAGGAGGCTCACCTCCAGGCTTTTTATAATAAACCACGTTTCATTCATGAACTGGAAATCTATATATGCAGCATGGCATGTACAGGGTGCTCCGATTTGAATGGCGTAAAGTTTTGGGATCTATTTTTTTAGATCTGAATAAGAGTAATGTAGATCGGGCCAAGGGTACCATGTTTTCTGGGGAAATGTTTTCTTATTTTTATCATGAAGCATTAAACTACGTTTTTCTAAAATCTAATATTTTTGTCTTTAGGATTCATAGCTTCTTCAAGTTTAAGTTCATAGGGTCAAATTTTGCGCCAAAATATCCATATTTGCTTTCTCTATATGCATTGAAAATAGTTAAGGCAAATTCTGTCCCGGAAGGTAAGACCCTTTTTTTATAAACCCGAAGAAGGATATAGCCCCTCAAAGTCTCTGCAAAATATGAAGTTCTTAAATTTCAACCATAGTTATCAACAAAAGTACACGATTTTTGAGCAATGTAACACAATTCCTGCGCAATGTCAAATTTGATTTTTTTTTTTTTTTTCACACTGAGGTATTTTTCCATGGACGGTGGTGTGACCAATCAAAATCCCGGAATGGAATATAAGTTTCGTTTGATGGATCACTGGACAGAGTTAGAGACCAAGCAATAAGATAGAGACCCAAATAATGGATACGTGACATATAAAATTTCTGCAGATTATTTGATTGTTAGTTTCAAAGGAACATTTTGTAACAAGACGAAAAAATTCATTGAAGTTTAAAGAAAGCACTTCTAAGGTCAGACAAAGCTATTGAAAATCTGATCAACGTGAGGTTAATAATCGTGGTGACCTAACTGTGGGCCAGGTCTTCGACTGAGATTCAGCCAATCAGAAAATTCGAACTCCTTCAGGCCGCCAAAAATATCGTCTTCTTTAGGTCCAAATTACTGGCGACTTCAAAATTTATTTTTTTCCGTTATTTCGAGTAAAAACCCCCGAAAAAATTACTGTTAGCTCACTTCACTCACCACTGTGAGGACATGAATTTAAAAATATAGGCGCCACTAATCTTTTGCACTTAGAATCCGTGCATCAATTTTTTTTTAAATATATCAATAGTAAAATCAAACGCTTTGAAAAACTTAGGCCTACTCAAACTAACTCGGGGAAGGAAATTTTAGAGACAAAAATACTCGTACCGATGAAATATATTGTCAAATGCTATGAGGTCATGATGGTTAATGTCCAATCGAAATGTCATTTGTAATATTCCAACGTACTTAATTGATTCTATTAAGCATGAGATAGTTTATATTCCATCAGACAGATTGCAACTCTACTGAACGCTACGAAACGTGTCCTGGGTTTTTCCAACTCCACTACTCAACTCCCTTTCCACTCTCCTACTCCAGTGCCTTTACTCCTGTAGTTTTGTAAGCTTATTTTGAACATTTGGACGCATTTCTGTCAACCGGAAGCATGTGCAATAGGTATGACGTGAACCCTGAGATATGCACATATTCTTATGGGTCTCAGAGCTCATGTCTCAATGCACATAGTTCCGTTTGACAGAGCTGTGTCCATTTGATGCTGCGTTCCGACTTAATATCATTTTCGAGAACCCCTGCACTTGATTGGAGCCTTTCAAAATACGGAACTTTGGCAATGCGATCTGGCATTCGAAATTGAGTTGACTGGCATCCAGACTCTTATTCAAATAAATATTAAGTCA